CCAATTTGGGAAATGTTTGCGTTGCAGCATGAAAACAAGGCAATTGAGAAATGAAGACACTCGAATAAACATCCCAAAATATTTCTGAAATAGAAATAAAATGGCATTAAAAAGTAAAAATATACAGGTGGAAAATATACATAATAACGAAAGGCTACTATAAAATACTGCTGGCACTCTTATCATATTGCGAAACACAGAAATGTTCTAGAACAGATACTCCTGACACAGAGATAAACCATTTAGCCATTAAGACAGATTTTATAATTACTGTAGGTGTCAGGTGCAAGATTTATTTTGAGGACACTTAATTTATATGCATAAAAAAGCACTAACCATCGTCAATTAACTGTTCTGTTTGAATTATCAATCTGGTCGTAACTGATCAGTGTTTACTCTCTCACCTGCCGCACTTATCCCTCTTGTTGTGATCTCCCCGCTGCTCAGCAGCAGCTTCACACACTCCACTACTGCGGAAACAGGTTATACCATTAGAAATACTGCAGGAATAACATTGACTGTATAACATTACATACATTTACTCTTTTATGGGTTTAAAAACAAGACATTTGGTCCAAATAAGCCAAAGTGACTAATCAAATGCTGCTTAAAACTTTTCTATAAACTGCATATTGAAGGATTTAGCAGAACTAGTTTTAATTGTTGTTTTATAGGTCAGACGGCACAACAGACAATCAGGCTAATAAATACAATTGGAATAGAATAAAAATGGCAAAAAGTGAATTCACTGTCCAGACTGAAAGATTCATCACAAATAAGACTCAAATGTTCTCTGCCTTGGATAAACATTTATTGTGAGCTCGCTCTCGGTTTCATCTCTAAATAAAGTGGGTTTATAGTTCAGAGTAAACTTTCTATGTTAAGCAGTATTTTCTACCTATGTGAATATTTGTTTACCTACTTTTGATACATGCTCCGATAGAATAACTGTATGCTGTTGAATAAAAATAACTTTCTACGAGGATTACAATTTTAGTAAGCGACTTTTCACGACCTGTCTGATCATCTGACGTTTAGACTTTATTTCTAATACTTCAAGGCCTTTTAAACCTTCCTTTTATGACCCCAAAAGTACACATATATGTTGTTATAAAGTGCAGGCGGTGTCTCACCCCCCGGCGGCGGCGGCGTGCAGGCAGCTCCTCCCCAGGCTGTCAGGAGTGTCGATCTGGAAGCCTGCACACAGGACCGAGTCGTTACACATTAAGCTAAACTTCCGGCCTGAAGGGGGCAGCGCAGGGAGACGAGGAGGAAACACACAGCAGCAGCAGGAGAGAGAGAGACAGGAGGAGAGAGAGAGACAGGTGTCAGTGAGACAGGTGGGGGGGAAGTTAGGTGAGACTGGACGTGCAAACAGGGAAACGTCTACAAGTGTTAACACAGAGAGAGGGTATATCCTAAATTAAAATATACAAGAGGAAGGAAGGAATCAGAGAAACAAAGACAGCTCCGACCTAATATATAAAAAATATTTTAAATGATCACAAGGACTTTTCAAAGAGCCCTTGACTGTTGTGTTTTTATTTCTTCTCGTCATGTCAGGTTGTTTTAAGCTATTGACAAACATACGTTCCAGATCATCAAATAAGTAATCAAGTACACAAGTAAGTATGTATGTATGCAAGTAAGTAGGTGGTAGGCAAGTGAGTAAGTAACTAAGTAAGTAGATAAGTCAGAAAGTAAGTAAGTACGTAAGAAAGCCAGTAAGGGGTAAGGATAAGTAAATAGGAAATGAGGAAGTAAGAAAGGAAGGAAGGAAGTACAGAATGTAGGTACATTTAAAAAGTATGTAAGTAAGTAATTAAGATATAAAGAAGTAAAAGGACGTTAGTAGTTAGTTAGTAGGTGAGTAAGAGGGTTACCAAGAAGGAAAGTAGATGATAAGCTAGTAAGGAAGTAAGTTAGTTAGTAGTTAGTTAGTAGGTGAGTAAGAGGGTTACCAAGGAAGTAGTATGATAAGCTAGTAAGGTAAGTAAGTTAGTAGTTAGTTAGTAGGTGAGTAAGAGGGTTACCAAGAAGGAAAGTAGATGATAAGCTAGTAAGGAAGTAAGTAAGTTAGTAGTTAGTTAGTAGGTGAGTAAGAGGGTTACCAAGAAGGAAAGTAGATGATAAGCTAGTAAGGAAGTAAGTAAGTTAGTAGTTAGTTAGTAGGTGAGTAAGAGGGTTACCAAGTAGGAAAGTAGATGATAAGCTAGTAAGGAAGTAAGTTAGTTAGTAGTTAGTTAGTAGGTGAGTAAGAGGGTTACCAAGAAGGAAAGTAGATGATAAGCTAGTAAGGAAGTAAGCAAGTGTCTAAGTAAGCAAGTGTCTAAGTAAGTAAGTGTATATATATGTATCTATAATAAAGAACACTGTTGAACTGTTTGTGTGGGTTTGATGCAAATTTGGATTTTGGGTTTTTCTGAAGGTTGAATTCAGTTTTTCTAGTTGCTCTTTGGTTAAAGGTATCCACCACATGAGTGAATTGTAGCATCACTGAATCACAACATTAAATCAGTGTGTTGTCGTCTCGTGTTCTTGGCTTTTTAAACTCTTTCTCGTTAAAAATGTGCCTAATTTTCACGCTTTCTGCAGATGTAAAAGAGACTTTGGCATCTGATTTATCTCTGGGTTTAACGAAGACAAAAGCTCAGCAGCACTTCTGCTCACACACACACACACACACACACACACACACACACACACACACACCAACACACAGAGACATGTAAATGACTTCTTTTGTTGAAACAGAAAGCAGCGACTCAGCAGAGACTCATGAGGAGTTTCCCTGCTGCTCGCCTGCAGACTCAAGACTTAAATTATCAAGAAGAGGATTGTTGCCTTTCCCTGTTGCTTCTCCCAGAGGAGGAAGAGTACTCAGACCCTCTCCATTTGAATTCACATATACTGCAATATATCTAATTCTTGCATATTGTTATTATTGAATTCCCCTTACACTGTTTTTGCATGCACTAATATACACTAAAAACACCTTGTATGGGTAAAACTACTTGAATATGGTCTTAAAATGCTTGTTTACAAATAAATCCTGAATTCAGATTGTTAATAGTAGAAGTACAGACGTATATGTACTTAAAGTATACAAATGTAAAGTATGCAGAATGGCTCTTTCACAGTATTTTATTATTATAGGATATTATATTATCCTATTTTGATCACTAACTTGGAGCATTTTAAGTGATATGTTGTCAACGTGGAGCCAATTTTCAATACTTACAAAAGTACTGTTTACATTAGTAGTACAGTACTGCATTCATTATATAGAATATCATGTGTTTTTTAAATGTAAAAAGCTACTATGACTTTTCTTTAAACGGGGACCTATCATGCAAAATGCACTTGTGTACGTCTTTTATACATGAATATGTGTCCCCGGTGAGTCAGGGAACTCACCAAGTGTCAGAAAGCACAACCCTCTCTCTTTTCCTCCGTACCCAAATCTCTAAAAACGGGGCTGCAACAGATCTGATACAGACTGATCCAGATTTGAAATATCTCTGACGTCAGAAGCGAGGAGCTCCGCCTATATGGGCAACTCTCCACCGATAGGGAGGAGACAGCCACGGCCATCGAAAGTGCTGGAGACCCTGTAGTAACATATGCCAGGCCTGTAGGTGGCGCTGTAGTCACAGAATCAGCCCTTGCAAAAACAGGGCTAAAAGCAAATAGAGCGAAATAAGGCATGGCTAAAATGCATAATCTGTTTGGTATTTTGAAAAGAAAACTTCACAGACATGTTTTATATAGGTATGGCTCTACAATATATGTTTCAAATATAGCATGATAGGTCCACTTTAAATGTATTGGAGTAAACAGTCTGATACGTATCTAACGAATCTTACCTAAAATAAGGGTAAAGTAGAAAAGATCAAGCATAACATTAGAAATACTGTCCACCACTGCCTCTAGTTCTCTCTGTTGATCTTATATCTCCTCAGAAAACAACACTGAGTAACTTTAATCAGAGAGCATGCGTCAGTGTGATGCTGAGGACGATTCAGCCGAACAGAGAGGAGCCATCAGTGAGTCGTTAAACTCTGAGGTCTGGTTGTGTTTCTGGAACATTATGACTTGAATTTGGCCCGAGCTGAATATGTGTGTTTGTGCAGGAATTCACCACTGGGCGTGGAAAAACAAAACAAAAAACAGAGCCAAACTCCATTGAAAGTTACACTGAGATAAAGTGAAGACAACACAGAATCTGAATCAGAACACAACCAAGAGAAAATTAAGATTAAGATATCAGTGTTACGTTATTTTACAAAAAGTCACTGTAAAATAAGTTAAGAATATAGATACAACTGAATATAGCCTGTGTGTGTGTGGCCTAGTATTACTATCATTGTGGGGACCTAAATCTATTTACACAGTCACGTGTGGGGACTCGCCTCCCTTATGGGGACAAAATGGAGGTCCCCATGAGGGGAATCATTCATTTTAGGGTGAAGGCTTGGTGAGGGTTAGGGTTAGGGATGTGTTGGTTATGGTTAAGGTTAGGATAAGTCTCCAGGAAATGCATGTAAGTCAATGTAATGTCCCCTGAAGTGGTGTATGCATGGTATGTGTGTGTGTGTGTGTGTGTGAAGAATTAACCGTCAATTACAATTAGGGCAGTCAAGGTTTAAATAACAATTCTAAATCATACTTGCATGTTTCAAGCATTAGATGCACCCTTAAACTTACACTTCAAGTCTATTTTTCTTTATAATTTGAGCATAAAAGCTAGGTTGACGCCTAAGAAAACAACTACTACTTTACCATAATTTTAAAATGTACCAGATGTTTAATGGTTTCATCAGTATTTTAACATTTTAATAAATAACATTTTGTCATATTATCTTTATATTTTACTATTTTACCTTTTCTTAGAATACATTTTTTAATCTCATGGCATGTTTTCTCTTTTAATAGTTATTATTTATTTATTCTACAAAGTGTAATCCATCTTAATGTGGGTTTTTTTTGTGAACTGAACTGAACATAGTCTATAGGGTAATTAGGGGGGGAACTGGTAGACAGAAAGCATGACGCTGACGTGACTTTTTTGGGGTCTTAACTCGGGGTCAGTCACAGTCAATTTGATCAGGAAACTCCATTCTTCCTCGTGGTTCACCTGAGGAGAGCAGCTTCCTGCAGCAGTCAGAGTGAGCGTTCAGAGCCGCCAGGTGCAGAGGGAACATGTCGTGGACTCCTCGCCTAGAGAGAGATGCAGAAAGTAAACAACTTATACCGGCTTTCACTCATTGTAATAATTAACAAACATCTGTGAACCATCAGACCTGGTGCAGTCTGCTCCGCTGGTGATGAGCGTGTTGATGAGGAGTTCATGACCGTATCGCGCGGCGATGTGCAGAGGAGTGTTTCCATCTTTGTCCACACAGTCGATCTCCCCACCTGACACACAATACCATTTTTAAAGGGAGAAAGTTGGGAAAATACTGAATGTTCTCTTCCAGTATGAGAGTAACATGATAACAAAGGTATCCTATCTGTAGCTGTGAACATGACAGGATGTGTGATTACCTGGAAGATAGGGCTGCTCAATTAATCGTATTTTAATCGCAATTACGATTATGGCTTGCAACGATTACGAAAACAACGTAATCGAAATACAACGATTATTTATTTATTTATTTATTATTTTTTTTTGGTTTTTCAGTTGAGTTATACTTAAAGTTCAGTATGTTAAAAACATACTGTTCAAACTAAATGTCTCCAATAAATTGATGTTTTCAAAGTAAATGGATAATTGTTTTTAATAATCGTGATATCAATTATTGACCCAAATAATAGAGATTATGATTTTTGCCATAATTGAGCAGCCCTAGTTTCTAGCAAAACATCTTTAAGAGATGACATGAGCAGCCCTACCAGCCTTTCCCATGGTGGCCAAAACATTTTTATTTGGTCTTAAATTTTAGTTCAACATTTATTTCCTGTTACTTCTGGACCATGACGGTTGGCCAGCCTTCAACGTTTAACTGAGTGGAATATGTTGAATATGTAAGGAGTTTTCAGGTTGTGACAGTGCACTGCAACATGTTTGTTGATCTTGTTTATTGGTTATTTATTATTTTGATATTATTTATTTAAATGTAGATATGAATGTATAATTTATTTGTATATTGTTTTTTCAGTTGATTCACCCTGAACGTATAATTCAAACAGTTAAAAAGTTCAAGTTATATTTCTATTTGTTTTAAAGTACAATAAATGGATGTTTTCAAAGTCAATGAATAATCGCATTTAATAATCGCAATTACAATTATTGACCCAAATAATCGAGATTATGATTTTTGCCATAATCGAGCAGCCCTACTAGAAGAGCATCAGGACTGTTTGAGGCTATGATAGCTATGTGATTAACATGATGATTCAGCCTCTATGGAGAGAGACATCAAGCATGCTCATTTCTGACGTGGAGCTAATCTGAAAGTAAAACATTGAATACTGCTTTCTATTCCTCCATCTTGTGACTGTGTAACTCCCTCTCTTGGATATCAGCATGTGAAGGACACTGTTCAGGAACTAGTTGATGCTCTGTATGTGATGACTACTTCCGTTCTGGAGAGGATCACAGATACATGGATCCTGAGATTGAAGCCGGGGACCAGTGAGATTTTTCAAACAGAGAACATGCAACAGGTGTAAGTTTGAGATACTAAAACGATCATAAGGAGGTCTAACCGTTTTGGATGAGGGTCTGTGAGCGAGTGAAGCGTCCGTGAACCGCCGTCATGTGAAGAGGACTCTTCCGTCACGACTCTGAAGAAAGGGCAGGAGAAATAAAACAACAGGTTTATGGTTTAATTTGTCAAATAAATGTCGTTTTCAGAAACAAGTAGAGTATAAAATAATGGACAGCGAAATGGAAAGGGTAGGCTTGTCTCACAACAGTAGCATTTAAAATATTGTCTCTGGCAAATGTAAATCCGAAATCCTTGTTCAGTTTTGTTTTTGTACCAAAGTACCAAGCTTATAATTTGACTAGTTATTTAGCAGATAAAAGGCCAGATATTTCCCTCAGGAGTTTGGTAGAAAACTGAGCCACAAAAGAGGGAGAATATTGGACTAACTTTCATCAGGTGAACACAAACTTTACTCTACATCAGTGCTTCTCAAGTGTGGTCCACTGGTGGTCCGTGAGCGCCCCCTAGTGGTCTCGTGAGTATATTGGGTTTTAAATTTCACATTGAAATAAATACATTTATTGAAGTTTTTCACACTCTCGCGGGAATATCTCTGCAATGGAGCGAGCTTAAGTTTCACTTTCGATTGCATGATATAGCCCCAGATAAACACCTTCATCACACATGTTGCCACTTGTTTGTACCATTTTCAGCGATTTGTAAAAAACGATGTGTTTTGGATATTTGTGGAGTTAGGTGGTCCGCTGAGTGTTTTTTTATTGGTTAAGTGGTCCTTGGTATGAAAAAGTTTGAGAAAACATGCTCTACCATGAAAGATATTGTTGTTCCATAACTCCTGGGTGTTTTGGCTTGTTATGTGAGACTTTCGGTGTACCTGTACGTTGACGTCGGCCCCGTTGTTGACCAGGAACTCCAGACACAGTGCTCCGTGAGTGGACGCAGCAGCGAAGTGCAGCGGCGTGAAGCCCTTGTTGTTGGCCTGACTCACGTTAGCTCCGTAATCGATGAGCTCACTGACAACAGCATCCTGTCCGTTAAAACACGCCACGTGCAGCGCCGTGTTCCCAAACGCATTCGACTCGTCGATCTGTTATCACAGAAAATAAGACTTGTTATACTGGGCCGAGGAAAGGTGTGACTGCAGTGTGTGCTGAAAATGTGTTCTTAATAAGTGTTGGTTAAAAGTGGAAGTCTTCAAGTGTAGGCAAACTAAAACTGTCAGAATGTGTGTGTGTGTGTGGTGTGTGTGTGTGTGTGTGTGTGTGTGTGTGTGTGTGTGTGTGTGTGTGTGTGTGTGTGTGTGTGTGTGTGTGTGTGTGTGTTTGTGTGTGTGCTGTGTGTGTTGTGTGTGTGTTACCTCCACAGAGAGGTTGAGCAGGTGTTTGACGACAGCGATCTGCCCGCTGGAGGCGGCTGTGTGGAGGGGGGTGTATCCTCGTTTTGTCTTTACAGCTGATCTCCGCCCCCTGACTCACCAGCAGACACGCCACGTCCAGGTGACCTGCAGGGGGCGCCGCAGAGAGAGGAGAAACAGTCATTGGTTATTTGTTTAACAACGTCCAGAACCCAAGCTGAGATCTTCGGGTCAGCTGATTTAATCAATGAATGGACTCAAAACTGCTTTTATTAACCGTTTTTTTTTAGGTAAAATTGTGATAAATTACACCCTTTTTATCTTAATTGTTTTAAATATGACATATTCATCACATGTCCACTTACATTATTGTTAATCATCTATGTTGTTTTGAGATGTTCATTTCGAAACTATTGTTTACTGTCTGTATATATATATAGATTTTCTTTCTTTTTTTCTTACTTTCGTTCTTGTATTTTCTGTGATTATGTGTTTGCTTCTTCTTTGTGGGGATATATACTTGTGCAATGTCTCTTGTGCTCAGAAAATGCCTCAGGACATGCTTTTTCCAATTCATTGTGCTTAAACAAATATTCCCATTTTTGTTAAAGAGTTTGTATAAATATGGAAACTCCACCTACAGTGAACCGGAGTTACCCACATGTTTGTTTACATCTAAAACGTATTTATATTGTTGTTGTGATGACTTTTAATACGGACACTAAATGGACTCTAAATAACCCCAATGAACAATCACAGTCCACCACACCTTGACGTTATGTTATATGTCTTTGCCCTGTGCCGTGTGTTGTACTTTTTATTGTCTGTTTACTGTATGTTGAATGTATGGAACAAGCTGTAATACTCTGCACTGAACACACATTCCACCAGCCTGGCTGTGTGGTCATTAAAGATTCTAATCTAATCTAATAATGTTGTGTCTTTTTCTTCTCGCTCCAGCTGTATTGAAAATCTCCTTTATTTATTAGATGGACTCATTCCGACACTACTCTACTTCGAGGAAATGAAAGTCTTTGAGTCTCACCCATGAACGCCGACCAGTGCAGCGCCCGGCCGTCCTTCTCTATCGAAGGCGTTGATGTTCGCTCCTTTAGCCAGGAGCCGGTTCACCATCTGGCAAAACACGAGGAAAACTAGGTTCAAGGCTTTTATGTCGTATTCTGTGTGCATAGCTACAGTGCAGGACCATGAAATTATTAGGTCACAGGCTCCTCCAACAGAGCCAACACAATAAAAACAGATAAGTAAATACAATAAAATTGAATACAACCCAAATTGTGCAGAATAGTCTATATACAAGTAATTGGAATATTGATTATTGATATATATGAGTTACAAACAGATTAATGTTGTGGGTGTTCTTTCAAAAGTTCAGGTGGTTTAACAGTCTTATGGCCTGTGGGATGAAACTGTCCGTGAGTCTGGTGGTTTTAGGAGGTTCTAGGCGTTAAAACAAGATATTATATATATAATATGTAAGAGTGGGTGTGTGTGTGTGTGTGTGTGTGTGTGTGTGTGTGTGTGTGATGGGTGTGTGTGTGGTGTGTGTGTGTGTGTGTGTGTGTGGTGTGGTGTGGTGTGTGTGTTTGTGGTGTGTGTGTGCTGGGTCTTTATATAACCAGCACTGTAAACACATCCTGGGCAGTTTCGTTGCAGAAACACTGTTTTTCAGAGACAGAAACCGAAGGAGCCGTTCAGAAATCTGCGCCTCTGCTCGGTTATTTTAGACTCAACATATTTGTGAATGGATTCCCTGAAACAAAAGGAGCGTTTCCAAAGTGAACAGCCCACTTAATAACCTCAATGACACAGCCTGCAGCCGCCCACCTGTTTGCTCTAACCAGAAGTAACCAGAATAGCACAAAGGCCGGTTACATCACTGCCTGTTTATTGGTGGATATGCTGCTGCAGGAAAGTTGTGATTTTGGTGTCATTGTACTGCTTAAAACAATGAGTATGTGAGTGTCCGTGTTTCATTACATTTAGCTGAGGCTTTTATCCACAGTGCAAGAAACCATGAAGATACAAACTCAGAACAAGAAGGAAAATGCAGATGTATACGCTGCAAACAAGCCTAATCATTAGAATTGCTGTTGTATTAGCTTCAAATGTGCTAATCCCAGTAAGTGCAAAAACGGTGTGTGTGTGTGTGTGTGTGTGTGTGTGTGTGTGTGTGTGTGTGTGTGTGTGTGTGTGTGTGTGTGTGTGTGTGTGTGTGTGTGTGTGTGTGTGTGTGTGTGTCAGGTCTAATAGCTAAGGTACAAGCAACACAGGTGGGTTTTCAGTCTGTGATGGAAGATGTGTCACCTTGGTGTTTCCATTGAGGGCAGCGAGGTGCGTCACATTTACATTTCTTAGTGGAAACAAAACAGTCATTTTAGTTTTTGGGGGCTTTTCTTTTCCCTACAGTCTGTATAGGTTTGTGTGCTTGGAAAGGGTCTGCAACGGCTAAAATCCCAAAGTTAGCTAGCGCTCCAACACATTGTACGTGAGGCTAAGGGGCGGGACATCTCTAAGCGGGTGACCAATCACAACAGAGCCGGCCAGCTAACCAATCAGAGCAGACTGGGCTCTGGTTTCAGACAGAGGGTGAAAAGAGGTGCAGCAGCACAGGCAGTATGAGAGAAATAAAGAGCTTTTTGAACATTAAAGCATGGAGACATGTAGAGACACTACATACTGATATACACCTGAACATCAGCAGGAGAGGACTCTTTAAAGTAGAGACACTACATACTGATATACACCTGAACATCACAGGAGAGGACTCTTTAAAGTAGAGGCACTACATACTGATATACACCCTGAACATCAGCAGGAGAGGACTCTTTAAAGTAGAGACACTACATACTGATATACACCTGAACATCAGCAGGAGAGGACTCTTTAAAGTAGAGACACTACATACTGATATACAACCTGAACATCAGCAGGAGAGGACTCTTTAAGTAGAGGACACTACATACTGATATTACACACTGAACATCAGCAGGAGAGGACTCTTTAAAGTAGAGACACTACATACTGATATACACCTGGACAGCAGCAGGAGAGGACTCTTTAAAGTAGAGACACTACATACTGATATACACCTGAACATCAGCAGGAGAGGACTCTTTAAAGTAGAGACACTACATACTGATATACACCTGAACATCAGCAGGAGAGGACTCCTTTAAAGTAAGAGACACTACATACTGATATACAACTGAACATCAGCAGGGAAGAGGACTCTTTTAAAGTAGAGACACTACATACTGATATACACCTGAAATCATCAGGAGAGGACTACTTTAAAGTAGAGACACTACATACTGATATACACCTGAACATCATCAGGAGAGGACTCTTTAAAGTAGAAGACCACTACATACTGATATACACCTGAACATCAGCAGGAGAGGACTCTTTAAAGTAGAACACTACATACTGATATACACCTGAACATCAAGCAGGAGAGGACTCTTTAAAGTAGAGACACTACATACTGATATACACCTGAACATCAGCAGGAGAGGACCTCTTTAAAGTAGAGACACTACATACTGATATACACCTGAACATCATCAGGAGAGGACTCTTTAAAGTTAGAGACACTACATACTGATATACACCTGAACATCAGCAGGAGAGGACTCTTTAAAGTAGAGACACTACATACTGATATACACCTGAAACATCAGCAGGAGAGGACTCTTTAAAGTAGAAGACACTACATACTGATATACACCTGGAACATCAGCAGGAGAGGACTCTTTAAAAGTAGAGACACTACATACTGATATACACCTGAACATCAGCAGGAGAGGACTCTTTAAAGTATATACACTACCATACGGATATACACCTGAAACATCAGCAGGAGAGGACTCTTTAAAGTAGAGACACTACATACTGATATACACCTGAACATCAGCAGGAGAGGACTCTTTAAAGTAGAGACACTACATACTGATACACCTGAACATCAGCAGGAGAGGACTCTTTAAAGTAGAGACACTACATACTGATATACACCTGAACATCAGCAGGAGAGGACTCTTTAAAGTAGAGACACTACATACTGATATACACCTGAACATCAGCAGGAGAGGACTCTTTAAAGTAGAGACACTACTACTGATATACACCTGAACTCATCAGGAGAGGACTCTTTAAAGTAGAGACACTACATACTGATATACACCTGAACATCAGCAGGAGAGGACTCTTTAAAGTAGAGACACTACACACTGATATACACCTGAACATCAGCAGGAGAGGACTCTTTAAAGTAGACACTACATACTGATATACACCTGAACATCAGCAGGAGAGGACTCTTAAAGTAGAGACACTACATAACTGATATACACACTGAAACATCAGCAGGAGAGGACTCTTTAAAGTAGAGACACTACATACTGATATCACCTGAACATCATCAGGAGAGGACTCTTTAAAGTAGAGACACTACATACTGATATACACCTGAACATCAGCAGGAGAGGACTCTTTAAAGTAGAGACACTACATACTGATATACACCTGAACATCAGCAGGAGAGGACTCTTTAAAGTAGAGACACTACATACTGATATACACCTGAACATCAGCAGGAGAGGACTCTTTAAAGTAGAGACACTACATACTGATATACACCTGAACATCAGCAGGAGGGGACTCTTTAAATCTAACTGATAAAACAAAACATAAATGATTGTCTGCATTACCTCCGTGTGTCCGTTTTAGCGCGTGATGCAGCGCGGTGCGTCCTCCGCGGTCCGACACGTTGACGCTGCTCAGCAGGGGGATGATGACCTCTGCGCATCGCAGAGCGTTATTTGCTGCAGCGACGTGAAGTGGCGTCTGCCAGTTCTTATCCCGAGCGTTCACATCGGCCGAGTGACGGATCAGAACCCTCACCGACTCCTGAGGAGGAACAGAGAGTTTATTTTAAGAGATCAATAACTCACCAGAGATGGCAAAAGTACACACATCCTTTACTCAAGTAGAAGTACAGATACTCGTGTTTAAAAAATACTCTGGTGAAAGTAGAAGTACTGACTAATCTTCTTTACTCAAGTAAAAGTAAAGAGGCTTTGAAATGTACTTCAGTAAAAAGTACCCATAACTAGCAGCTGCTTTAAAGAGTACCTGACCTCCCTTTATATTAATAGAACAATAATGTCATTGTTAGCTAATGAATGTTTCCATGCTGAACAACGGCAACATGACAACGTTTCCATTGGTCCCTCTTCTTTAGAGAAGACCAGAGGCCTGTACTACGAAGCAGGATTTTCTCTTAGCGGCCAACTTCAGGGAAAACTCCGGCTTTCCGGTCCCTACGACGCTGGTTCTCTTTTTAGCAGGCTAGATCTCTCCATGGTAACTTATGCTTAGCGGCTAACCTGGTCGGGAACAGGTTAGGTTGCAGGCTAAGAGCTCAACTCAGTGAAAGCACCGCCTGCTGACCAATCAGAGCTCAGTGTGCGGAGTTTAAAGCGATCAAGTCATATTACAGGAGAAAGGAAATACAGAAAAGCTGCCGTCGCAGGAAAGACGGCCGGCAAAAATCACCGACTGTGTGAACGTGAACATGAATAGAATATCACCTCCATCTTCAGAGCAATCTGACTATTATAACATTAGCGTTAAGAAAGCTTACTTAAATATCTGCCACAACATAAATAACCGGATCAGAGTAACATTAAGTACAGTCCGCGGCATATCACTTCATAATGTATCATATATCTCCTGATCTGAGTCAGCTGAGCCGTATCTGGCCGTGCAACACTCACAGTGTCACATACTGTATGCAGAAGTATTATTTTAAGCAACACATTAAGTTGACGAAACACTCGAGTCAAATGTAATGAAAGTCAGATGGTGTTTTAGACGGGGCAGTGATATCATAAACCTGTTAATGTACGCATTCAAACACTTGTTCTGTTACCAGCTGTATTCACCTTGCAGGTGCAGCTCTGTGGCTTTGATCCTGGATAAAGTGTTTGAGTCATGGATGTTTAAAGTTGAACTTCTTCATATGTCTAATATTATAGTTGACTTTTCATTCAGGAAGTATGACGCTGCGCTGTCAGTATGCTTCTCCATGTTTGCGATTGGTCGAATGCTCCAAATACCAACCCTTTCATGTGAACGCACGGCTGGCTTGAGCGATCCACTTGATAACCCGCGTCGTAGTACCGTTTAGCGAGAGCGCGTATGTTTTGGATTAGGCCAACCGGCTAACTCAAACATATCCAGGTTAGGTTGAACCAGCTTCGTAGTACAGGCCTCTGGAAATGATGGATACACGGATCGTGTTCAAATCAATAGGCTCTAAATAATAATGATCACGCCACCAAACACACATTCAAACTAAAGTAACCAGCCTGTTTGGAAAATGTAAGAAGTAGAAAGTACAGGTATTTGAGTTCAACATGTAAGAAGTAGAAAGTACAGGTATTTGAGTTCAACATGTAAGAAGTAGAAAGTACAGGTATTTGAGTTCAACATGTAAGAAGTAGAAAGTACAGGTATTTGAGTTCAACATGTAAGAAGTAGAAAGTACAGGTATTTGAGTTCAACATGTGAGAAGTAGAAAGTACAGGTATTTGAGTTCAACATGTAAGAAGTAGAAAGTACAGGTATTTGGGTTCAACATGTAAGAAGTAGAAAGTACAGGTATTTGTGTTCAACATGTGAGAAGTAGAAAGTACAGGTATTTGTGTTCAACATGTGAGAAGTAGAAAGTACAGGTATTTGTGTTCAACATGTAAGAAGTAGAAAGTACAGGTATTTGTGTTCAACATGTAAGAAGTAGAAAGTACAGGTATTTGTGTTCAACATGTAAGAAGTAGAAGTAAAAAGTCATCAGAAAATAAGTAGTAGAGTAAAGTACTGATACCAGAAACATGTACTTAAGTACAGTAACAAAGTATTTGTACTCTATTACTTCACACCTCTGTGCCTCACTTGTGTGCTACGAATCTATCAGTTCTTTGTATGAACAGTATTCATGTCTTATTTATGTACACACCGCGACCACCAGAGATAATTATTTAGGGATGTTTTAAAAAGTTATCTTTAGATCCTGAAATGAGACGTACTTCACAGTGAAACTGAGAGTGAGAATATGTGGGCAGCATAAGTTATAAGAGAGATTTAAATAGAATAAATGGACAGACTGACACATGAAGCACAACTAGAAGTAATATGTGAAAATGAACCTGATGCTGCAAATAAGTCCATCAACATGACCTTAAAAATTATGTTAAAATTTGAATGAATTTCCGAAACAGCCATTTATTTTGTCATTATTTGATGTGGCATATATTCATTGTGGTAGAAGACATGACCACAAGGTACATCAGCAAACAAACAACGCCTATTATCAAATACCCTAATGAGCAGGCTAAACAAAACCAGAATATCAAGCTATTTATTTACTATAAGGATTAGTTTCCGGGTTATTCGGAATGAATTAAAGGACAAAACAAGGTCAAAATAAAACAAATGAATAAGGTAAGCTAACATAACTGTGTTTCTGGAAAGGCATAGGCCTATGAATATATATTTTAAAAAAATCACGTGTTTCTCTGAGGTATCGTAGCAGGCATATTTTATTCTCTACTTAATTCAATTTCAATACACTGTAAGATCTTGTTATTTCAATGTTGTAAATAAAGCTACAGGCTGTTATGGCGCGTTTCCACTGCAGGCCTCGCTCGGCCTCGCTCGGTTTGGTTAGGCCTTATTAGGCCCGGCTCACTTTATGCTGCGCTTCCATTACAGTTTAGGAACTGGGGTAGTTGCTATAGTAACGCAGTGTAGGCGGAGCCGTGACGTCATCTTCAATGAGAGCCCCAGAAAAACAACACAGCCGTTAGCTCTTAGCACTCAGAGCTCACAGCTCTTCATATCTGTTCAGAAACTAGACAAAAGTTAAACAAGTACAAACCACAGACTGCCTGTGTCATGGAGAATACAGTCGCTGGTTTATTTATGTCTGGATAGGCCGTTGTTGTGAGTGTGGACGGTCGGAGCAAAACGTTAGCTTAGCCAAGCTCCATTTAGAAAACACGCATTTTAAAGGGTTTTTCGCCTGCCGTCTGTCTGCAGACTTGTCAAAGCATTAATTCATGGTTTTTACTAACCGGTATCAGTATGTTGTTACTTCGGGATCATTTTGAAACGTGTATTACAATTAAATCACGGTCAAACATGTTCATCTTGTTGTAGTCCCCTTGCCAGCGATTCTCTCTCTAGTTTAGCATACTCAAACCGACTCAGCCTGGTTGTTCCTGGCCCTAGAACCACGATGTTATGGGGCCAGAAAAACTGTGAATTAGGACCCGCTAGCCGGTACTAGGCCTCTTGGAAATGCAACCAAAAACGGGCCCTGCACGGCTCGGCACGCTTAAAGCGAGCTACCTGCTGCAGTGGAAACGCGCCATAAATGTCCTCACTTTTAATACCTTGTGTTGAGTGCAAACATCTCCCCACATGGACTGAAAGTGATTTTATCCAAAGCATGTGTACAGCTGCTTTGCGTAAACCTGTAACATACCGTTGTGTGAATGAATAAAGACTCAGAGTCATGACTTCAGACAGATTCGTTAACTCTTTGGTATTTAACCTCGTAGAGTCTCTGTATGTAATGGGGGGCAGAGCGCTGGCAGTTATTCCAGCCATGTTGAATATCCAGTTTGTGATGGGAGTGATGGTGACAGACTAACTGGTATAACCCACATTCTCTGAGGTGAAGCTCTGTGTGTGAGATGTGTTTAGAGGACAATAAAAGATGTTTTCAGGTAAATATCACGAGGTACCTGAGTCATGGTGGCAAAGCAAGAGTGTAAAAAAACCTCTTCATTAATTTCCTCTATAGATACGCTTTAGATATCCTTCTTCTGATGATATTTAAGCATTTACTGTTTAATTGTATTTAGTTTTTCATTTGTTCAACACCTTCTTGCTTACATGGTGCTGTAACAAAACAATTCCTTCATTTAGGGTCGATAAAAAACCTAATCTAATTCAGTGTTCATTTCACTTTGATTGTTTCAAGCACATACGATAAATGGCAGTTGTGTTTCTAGTTAATAATCCATTGTTCATAAGTATCTGATCGGAGGTTAATCAAAGATAATTATTAGTAAGGGTCAGTTATAATGGAAGCCACATAAATCCTTGAAGAGAATACGCATTATCCCAAAATGTTGTACGTACTTTACAGTCTAATTAGTGTGTGTGTTGTGCGTGCGGGTGTGTGTGTGGTCCTAGCATTACTATACTTGTGGGGACCTAAATCTGTTACACAGTCACGTGTGGGGACTGGCTTCCCTTATGGGGAACAAATTGGAGGTCCCCATGAGGGGGAATCATTAATTTTAGGATGAAGACAGGGTTAGGGTAAAGGGTTAGGGCATGTGTTGGTTTATGGTTAAGGGTTAGGATAAGTCTCCAAGAAAATGGCATGTAAGTCAATGTAATGTCCCCTGAAGTGTTGTATACATGGTGTGTGTGTGTGTGTGTGTGTGTGTGTGTGTGTGTGTGTGTGTGTGGTGTGTGGGTGTGTGTGTGTGTGTGTGTGTGTGTGTGTGTGTGTGGTGTGTGTGAAGTACCTAAAGAGTGATTGTTGTTGTAGTTCATAACAATAAACCAACTTAAGTTTGCGTGTAAGTTTTAGTGTGTAAGTTGGCCTCCTTCTCATCCGTGAGTGTGTGTTAGTCATGGTGGTGTGTGTGTGTGTGTGTGTGTGTGTGTGTGTTCACACTCGCTCCGGGATGCCACCCGCCCGATGGGAGGGGGGTGAGCCACATGTTATCTTTGGCATTGACCCGAGCCCCTGCAGAAAAAAAAAGATGAAGCAGAAAAATTCCAGTTTACAAACCCAACACATTAACATTTTCATTCTTATTGCAATAAACACATTGCGAAAGACTGCTATGTTGAACTTTGAAAGATACCTTTTTACTATTAAGTATTTATTTGTTTATTTTTGTTTATTTGTGCCTATTGTTGTAAGTTCAATGTTCAATTTGTTCTATTTTTTTCAATAATTAAACAAGTAATTTCGTGCCTATAGCAGTTTGCAGAAAGGCAGACGCTTTCTGTCTCATTATCCCGATATTCAAACATGTTTTCCCATAATTCCCTAATATCACGCCGCCTTAATGCAGAGCGTAATTGAGGCGTTCTCCTCTGAGCCACAGCGCTCCAGTTGTTGTGCAGAAAATAATGTTAATAAAATAGATATATTAACACATCAATGACACACAGGTGCTACTGGAGACCAATCCCACACACACCGTCCTGCTGCCAAAAAAACTCTCTATTACGCCGATTGTGTATTCATCCGCCGCTGAAAATAGTCCTAAACATATGCACATGTATTCCCTGTTTAGATCATGTCTGATAGGAACTACAGTGCCCAGCTTTTTGAGAACTATTTTAAATATATGTCTAAATATGTTAATGAGTTTTTTATAAATATGTACTTCCTCTGTAGGAAAAAAATTACCCTTGAGGTGTAATTAGAAAAGAAGAGGAAGCAGACTAAGGCATTTAAATAAAGCTCTTTTATAATCTGGCATTTTAATACGTGTTATGCACAGATCATTGCAGCATTAACCCATAATCCCCCTCTGTTTCAGCCCTTTTCAAAAGTGCTTGATTCTCTGTCTGTTACTTTAGATGAAAATAAGGAGCCACTCCCCACGCCCCTCTGAGAGAGATTTGGTTAAAAAGAACAAAATAGCCGCGTTCACACCGAGTACTTTTCACCCGTACTTTTCGCGTTTAGTTCCGTTAGTACCCCTGATGTCGCGTTCACACCATAAAAATAACTAAGTGCCGGGAACTTTTCACCCCATTTTTAGCGCCTGCTGAGAGCAGGTACTTTCCTGGGGGGAAAAAGTACCACAGTTCTGATTGGCTGGGCGATTGCAAACCACGCCCCGTAAAACTATGAAATGTTTTGTAGAGCCGCCATTTTATTAGCATTATTAGCATTAGCATTCGCCCAGCACACAAACGCAGAGAGACTAACTTATGGCAACACAAAAGAAAACATGGGAATGGTGGAGAACCCGGAATAAGCGGTGGAGATGAGGAGGTGTCGGTGTTCTGGCGATTTACTCGGAAGGCTTCAGTAGAAGCTGCTGGGAGTCCCAGCAGCTTCTACTGAAGCCAGTCCCCAACTCCGGGGACTTCCGGCCGGGGACTTCGGGTGGCAGTATACGCCGTGAAGTGGTTTGCGGCCTGCCAGTAAACCCAAAGCAGAAGAAGCAGAAGTGACGTCAGCGGATCATTTGCGTAATCCTCCCTCATACCTCATTCACACCAACGGTGTTTCAGGGCGGGTTCGGAGCTGGAGCTTGAAAAGCACCGGGTTTTCCTCTTCACACCGCAGCGGAGCAGCCTCTTAGCTCCGGAATCCGGTTCGTTTCAAGCACCAAAAAATTGTCCGGCCAGAGCAAAAGCACCGCATACGTCACGCTTACGTCGAGGCGGGGGCAGAGACAGATCAACTCCTGAACAACAGCAAAAAGCCTGCGTTTTATCCAGTTTGTACAACGATGGAGAAACTTAACAAGAGTTTCAGAGTTTCTGCCATAGACTGTATATATAAAGGTTTCTGCTCATGGTGAAGCAACCTGTCTGAGTTGTGTTGGTGTGAATGAGGTATCAGGGAACTTATTCCGGGTTCTCCACCATTCCCATGTTTTCTTTTGTGTTGCCATAAGTTAGTCTCTCTGCGTTTGTGCGCTGGGCTAATGCTAATGCTAATAATGCTAATGCGAGGAAAATAAAATGGCAGCTTCACCAAACTTTTTGGGAGTTTTACGGGGCGTGGTTTGCAATCCGCCCAGCCAATCAGACATAGGAACCTTTTTCTCCCACGAGAGAACCTGCTCTCTAGCAGGGACTGAAAAGGGGGTGAAAAGGTTCTCATGAACTAAGTTCTAGTTCCAGATTTTTTTGGTGTGAACCAGAGGTCGCGTTAACCGAATATTTTCCGTCTATGACGGATTTTTTTTAACAATGACGGACAAATCTGAAAGCAGTCCGTCATATTTTGACAGATTAGAACAAACTCGGAACAGCGCCCAAAGTTTCCCCGCAGCGAGGCTCCGGTGTTATGCCGTTATGCATGCCCTCCAAAAAGGAAATGACACCGTTTCCAAACCTAACTGTGCCGCACAAATAATTGAAATGTCCTGTGAGTTTTGGCTTTACGCTGTGCACGCTCCCGCGAGGTGCAGCAGCCATGCATAACACGGCGCATGTGAACTGTCCCCCCCCGTTGACAGTTCACAATGCTTCCCCCCCCCGCCTCGTCAGAGTTGTGTAAAGGCCGACGGGTAATTCTGGATTTTGACGGAAGTTTTACGATCCTGTCCGTCAAAATGAGGGGCAGCGAGAAAGTCTAGCGCAACCTCTGGTGTGAACGCAAATTTTCGGAAACTATATCGGAACGATACTGGGAAAAGTAATCCGGTGTGAAAGCACCTAATGGTGCTCTAGGAGAAGATTCAGGTGATAAGGTGGGGGGGGGGGGTTACCTTGGTTGCTGATTGGCTAATGGTTACACAAGCCAAAACATTGTTATGACATCACAAAGTGGCCAAAATCTGATCAGCTCATTTTCAGACAGGTTTTTATAGAAATGGATCAGGAGAAAAAGAGAGAGAATCTTTGTTCCTGTTGATGTAGAAAGGACATGAAGAAGAGGATTTTGCATAATAGGTGACCTTTAACGGAAAGATGGAAGATAAAACTCAGAGAAGGTGAAATGATTTTACCAGAGAGGATGAGGAGCTCGGTGATCTCTGCATCTCCCAGGAAGGCGGCAGCGTGCAGCGGGGTGCGCTTCTCTGAATCCTGAGGAGGAGATATTGTAATAATGTAAAAGTATGAGAGTCTAACCTTCATTAATAAGCTGCACCTATTCTAAGGTGCTGCGGTTTAAGAGAGTGGAGGTCCACATTAGGACTACAGATGGAACCCTTTTCCAGATGGATTTCTATACATGGTTCTTGTTTAAAAGACATAATAATAAATAAATGTTTACAGGTACCAATAGGATACGCCACCAAAGCAACCGTTTAGATATCTCAATATCCACAGAGCTGGAGTAAAGCCAGATGTAAGGTGTCTTAGGAGCAGGGGTGTAAAAAATAAAAAGGGTACCGACACTTTAGGAATCTAGAGAGCAATTTAAAATTAAATGTAAATTGCAATTTTCCACCAAGTTTTCTGTTTTAATTATTATTATTTTCTAAATCAGTCAGCCATCACACACACACACACACACACACACACACACACACACACACAACGTTAATGTCCCTTATAATAATCTGTGACTCCTCCATGATGGTCCACAGAGGAGGAGTGATATCAGTTCACAGTTGATGAGCTCAGGGCTTTAAGTGTCAAACCCTCCATTGTTCCTCCACACTCCACCACAGGAAGAAGAAGGCCCAATCCCAAACCGCGCCTACACCCTACACAACTACCCTACACCCTAACACTTACACCTACACCTACACACTACACCCTACTCACTACCCCTACAACCCCTACAACCACTACCCCTACTTCACTACCCCTACACACTACCCTACAACACTACCCCTACCACTACCCCTCCGTTCGCCCCGGAGGTCCGCTACATCAAGTGCTGTTCCAAACCAACGAGCGTGGAGGGGGAGTGGGCTATCAAGCCCTCAAACAGCGAGTCTGCCAGCGGTGCTGACTTGAGACCGGTCTCTACCTGACCGGAGTCACGCTGTGTGTGTCCGTCAGGAAACACGCTGTTTACAAGTAGCCTAGTTCCAGCAAACATCCACTGATAAATTACGATGTTAACAACCTCATGATGACCTCATATGTTTTAACTTAGGATCATACCTGTGTTTAGTCTAGAAAAGGTAAAATTGTGCATTTTATTATAAAGTTGTGTATATTTACAGACTGTTGCAAAAACTAAGAAGCTTATAAACATCAGGTTTAAAACTAAAAGAGCTTTGAAACACAATGAAAGATATTTGGAGTTTTATTTGAGTTATTCATTTAAATTTCTCGAACTTTGAATCAGGGGGTAGCAAGTTCGAGTCCCACTGCAGTCAGCATGTTGTTGAGTCCCTGAGACACTTCACCCCAAATTGCTCCTGTGGGGATTGTCCACAGTACTGAATGTATGTAAGTCGCTTTGGATAAAATAATGTAATTAATTTAAATGTGTTGTCTAGATGCTGATTTGAAACCGTTGTTAAATACAGTTACGGCATTTCCTGTTTCTGCCGGAGAGAGGAGAGTTTGTCCCAAAGCTTGCCGCTGTATTTACTCCCTCCATCTGACAGGAGGAGCCTCGTTGAGCTGCGAGTGGCACTCACTCCGTCACGGAGGGGTAGGGCGTGGTTTGGGATTGGGCCGAAGAGTCCTGTAACCCTCTCTAGACTCCAGAGACTAAACACTGTGTGTGGATACAGACATGTGTTGTGCATATATGCAACATGATGGAGATAAACACACACACACTCTGAACTCTGACCTCCTCCACTCACTGCTGAGAGCAACAGGAAGTGACGCCTGAAGACATCTGAGGTTTTTATTTCCCCAAAAGCTGATTTGAAGCTAAGATGCATAAAGGAAAGGGATTTTTTGTAGATTAGCATACAATTACATATTGGGATGGATAAGTACTTTTAGACCCTGTGTATAAGCATAAGGGCGTAGTACAAAGAGTAACTACGCTGTTTACATTAAGTTATGGCCATACAAATGATATAAATACATCCAGCTATCGGTTAAATCCTTAATAAATATATGCAATATCTCTGTGTGGACTTTTGCACATGTTGACCAATGCATTGGCTGCTTACTAAACGCAATTGTTCTCATAAATATGAATTAAAAAGGTCTCATATTTTGCATCTCATAATTACGAAAAAACATATCCAGTGACGAAATGTGCATTAGGCATTTGATAGAGATATGTTCTCTTGTAGTTTTAAGGCATACATTTTGAAATTGTGAGAAGGTAAACATGTAAATTATGAGGCAAAGATGTCCTAATTATTAGAAAACATGTTAAGGTTGCCTGTGGGGTTGTATTTTATAACTGCAAGAGGATGCAAATGTGTGTACAGAGCAAAGGAAGTGAAGAATAAGACCTAGAAAACATGGATGTAAACAATGCAAGATTTTAAATGGTTAAAATATCACCTTTGCAGATGGTTTATAAGGAAGGAAGGAAGGAAGGAAGGAAGGAAGGAAGGAAGGAAGGAAGGAAGGAAGGAAGGAAGGAAGGAAGGAAGGAAGGAAGGAAGGAAGGAAGGAAGGAAGGGCACTCAGTATGTTGTTAAGGGCCTGTTAACAAACATTTTGTCTGTTTCCAAGAAATGAAACGGCGACTTTTTAACTGAATGCTCACTTCTGCAAGAGATCGAGAACTTTCTTGGGCTCCTTAAAGGTGGGGTAGGTATTTTCACTTTATTTAACTTGTTGTTATATTCCATGGAATGCTCTTAACATCCCGATAGCAATGAATAAATTTAATTCTTTGACAATAAATACATTAAAAAAATGTCATCTGTGGAAGCCGTGGCGCTGTAAAAAGCACGACCAATCATCTGAGTTGGCTAAAGTAACTGGATGGCCTACCTGCCTGTCAGCCTTCCATCTGGGCACAAACTTACCTCGTGCCCTCATTGGTCATGTGCTCGTTCGTGTGTGTTGGAGGAGGGGCTCTGTGAGGAAGTCTGAAGGAAGGGGCCGATTTTTTCCGGTTGTGTATTTTCAATTTCTAGCGCACTCGAGCTGGTTCCTCCATTCTTACCTACCCTACCTTTAATAATAACATATATATTTTTAACAAGGTTTTAAAAGTAAAAAGACTGGGAGGGCTGTGATTAACAAGTGACCTCGCAGTGTTGATGTTTACACTTTGTTTGTGTTTCCTCACCAGAGCGTTGATGTCTTCAGATTTATAGATGAGCATGCGGATCTCCTCAGGGTCTCCGCTGAAGATCGCCTGGATGAGAGGAGGCTGGGGGAGGGAGAAGACAAAACGTTAATCACATGGCCAGAGGCAACATGGCCGACATGCAGAAACCACAGTCTATGGCAGAAACACACACGGAGCATTTTAACAGTGAAAGGAATTCATCAGAGAGCAGACGTGACCAGATGAAGTGTTCGAGGGGCGATTTACCGCATGTTAAGAGAGCATGATCCTTCCCACGGTATATAAGAGTGTGTGTGTGTGTGTGTGTGTGGTGTGTGTGTGGTGTGTGTGTGTGTGTGTGTGTGTGTGTGCAGCTGCTTAACTTAAAAGCTGTTTACAGAAGCTTCAGGACTGCAGTCTACTGTATACAAAATGCATCTTCAAACCAAGAAGGATTATGAAACTCACTTCCTACATGAAGACAGGAACAAAATATGTCCCCCCCCCCCCCCCCCCCCCCCCCCCCCAAAGCAAAGAGAATGTTGTTGGAGAAGATTCTTTGTAGATAGAAATCATAAAAGTAAAATGTCTGTGCAGAGAAAAGGCCTCCATGAAGGTCATGTCTCTGAAACCCGTATTTTCTATACCAGATTACAGATAGGAGGTAAATAGAGGCACCGCCCCACCCACACACACACAACCACACACCACACACACACACACACACACACACACACACAACACACACACACACACACACACACACACACACACACACACACACACACACACACACACACACACACACACACACACACACACACACACACACACACACACACTTTCTCTCCCAACCCTCTTTATTTCTCTCCTACCGACTAATCTACCTCATTTTTTACTTATTCACCAACTCGCTAAAGTACTTACTGACTAACTTCATTACTTACTTAAGTCTGTACTAACTTCGACTACATTTCAGACGTGAATAGTGCACTTTTTACTCCATTATATTCATGAAACAGCTCTTAACTACAGATGCAATGGCAGAAATATAAGCAGCACCAATAATAATAAGAACAAATAATTATTAAAGTCATTTTTCATGCAAAAGAAAAAGTAAAAAATGCCATTTCAGCCTCTCAAATATGAAGACAATTCCTATAATAGATCATATTTTGAGGTTTGGACTGACAAGCCAAGACATTTAAAGATATCACATGGGAATTTAAGGGATAACTGTCACTATTACCTTTAGTTGCAGCCCTACAATGCAGGACATCTTACATGTAGTGGCGTTCACAGAGCAAATGGGATGGATTTTATTAATTTTTTACACAAAAGTGACACGATTTAAATCCCTGCATGGTCCTTTAACACCGACCGATAGAGTTCAACAGCTACATTGATTATTTAAAGAGTAAAAGTCGATGTCAGAGCTCTGCAGAAATGTGGGCTGCCAGTTCGATGTGCTCCTGATGATGATTCAGATCTAACAGAGAACTCACTTCACTTCCTGTGTGCAGCCTGCCTCACTTCCTGTTGCACAGCCTCTCCTTCTCAGAAACAAGAGGAACCACAGAGCAGCGTTTCACTTCTGCTTTAAGAAACACAGCTCACACTTCCTCTGCTTTCTGCTTCTCATTTTTAAATGTTTGCTGCTGTAGTGTCACAACTAGAGCTGCAGGAGTTATATTTAAAGAGTCCTCTCCTGCTGATGTTCAGGTGTATATCAGTATGTAGTGACATCTACTTTAAAGAGTCCTCTCCTGCTGATGTTCAGGTGTATATCAGTATGTAGTGACTCTACTTTAAAGAGTCCTCTCCTGCTGATGTTCAGGTGTATATCAGTATGTAGTGTCTCTACTTTAAAGAGTCCTCTCCTGCTGATGTTCAGGTGTATATCAGTATGTAGTGTCTCTACTTTAAAGAGTCCTCTCCTGCTGATGTTCAGGTGTATATCAGTATGTAGTGTCTCTACTTTAAAGAGTCCTCTCCTGCTGATGTTCAGGTGTATATCAGTATGTAGTGTCTCTACTTTAAAGAGTCCTCTCCTGCTGATGTTCAGGTGTATATCAGTATGTACGTGTCTCTACTTTAAAGAGTCCTCTCCTGCTGATGTTCAGGTGTATATCAGTAGTAGTTGTCTCTACTTTAAAGAGTCCTCTCCTGCTGATGTTCAGGTGTATATCAGTATGTAGTGTCTCTACTTTAAAGAGTCCTCTCCTGCTGATGTTCAGGTGTATATCAGTATGTAGTGTCTCTACTTTAAAGAGTCCTCTCCTGCTGATGGGTCAGGTGTATATCAGTAATGTAGTGTCTCTACTTTAAAGAGTCCTCTCCTGCTGATGTTCAGGTGTATATCAGTATGTAGTGTCTCTACTTTAAGAGTCCTCTCCTGCTGATGTTCAGGTGTATATCAGTATGGTAGTGTCTCTACTTTAAAGAGTCCTCTCCTGCTGATGTTCAGGTGTATATCAGTATGTAGTGTCTCCTACTTTAAAGAGTCCTCTCCTGCTGATGTTCAGGTGTATATCAGTATGTATAGTGTCTCTACTTTAAAGAGTCCTCTCCTGCTGATGTTCAGGTGTATATCAGTATGTAGTGTCTCTACTTTAAAGAGTCCTCTCCTGCTGATGTTCAGGTGTATATCAGTATGTAGTGTCTCTACTTTAAGAGTCCTCTCCTGCTGATGTTCAGGTGTATATCAGTATGTAGTGTCTCTACTTTAAAGAGTCCTCTCCTGCTGATGTTCAGGTGTATATCAGTATGTAGTGTCTCTACTTTAAAGAGTCCTCTCCTGCTGATGTTCAGGTGTATATCAGTATGTAGTGTCTCTACTTTAAAGAGTCCTCTCCTGCTGATGTTCAGGTGTATATCAGTATGTAGTGTCTCTACTTTAAAGAGTCCTCTCCTGCTGATGTTCAGGTGTATATCAGTATGTAGTGTCTCTACTTTAAAGAGTCCTCTCCTGCTGATGTTCAGTGTATATCAGTATGTAGTGTCTCTACTTTAAAGAGTCCTCTCCTGCTGATGTTCAGGTGTATATCAGTATGTAGTGTCTCTACTTTAAAGAGTCCTCTCCTGAATGTCAGTGTATAGTATGTAGTGTCTCTACTTTAAGGTCTCTCCTGTGAGTAGGTGTATATCAGTATGTAGTGTCTCTACTTTAAAGAGTCCTCTCCTGCTGATGTTCAGTGTATATCAGTATGTAGTGTCTCTACTTTAAAGAGTCCTCTCCTGCTGATGTCAGGTGTATATCGTATGTAGTGTCTCTACTTAAAGAGTCCTCTCTGCTGATGTTCAGGGTGTATATCAGTATGTAGTGTCTCTACTTTAAAGAGTCCTCTCCTGCTGATGTCAGGTGTTATATCAGTATGTAGTGTCTCTACTTTAAAGAGTCCTCTCACTGCTGATGTTCCAGGTGTATATCAGTATGTAGTGTCTCTACTTTAAAGAGTCCTCTCCTGCTGATGTTCAGGTGTATATCAGTATGTAGTGTCTCTACTTTAAAGAGTCCCAGTATGTAGTGTCTCTACTTTAAAGAGTCCTCTCCTGCTGATGTTCGGGTATATCAGTATGTAGTGTCTCTACTTTAAAGAGTCCTCTCCTGCTGATGTTCAGGTGTATATCAGTATGTAGTGTCTCTACTTTAAAGAGTCCTCTCCTGCTGATGTTCCAGGTGTATATCAGTATGTAGTGTCTCTACTTTAAAGAGTCCTCTCCTGCTGATGTTCAGGTGTATATCAGTATGTAGTGTCTCTACTTTAAAGAGTCCTCTCCTGCTGATGTTCAGGTGTATATCAGTATGTAGTGTCTCTACTTTAAGAGTCCTCTCCTGCTGATGTCCAGGTGTATATCAGTATGTAGTGTCTCTACTTTAAAGAGTCCTCTCCTGCTGATGTTCAGGTGTATATCAGTATGTAGTGTCTCTACTTTAAAGAGTCCTCTCCTGCTGATGTTCAGGTGATATATCAGTATGTAGTGTCTCTACTTTAAAGAGTCCTCTCCTGCTGATGTTCAGGTATATATCAGTATGTAGTGTCTCTACTTTAAAGAGTCCTCTCCTGCTGATGTTCAGGTGTATATCAGTATGTAGTGTCTCTACTTTAAAGAGTCCTCTCCTGCTGATGTTCAGGTGTATATCAGTATGTAGTGTCTCTACTTTAAAGAGTCCTCTCCTGCTGATGTTCAGGTGTATATCAGTATGTAGTGTCTCTACTTTAAAGAGTCCTCTCCTGCTGATGTTCAGGTGTATATCAGTATGTAGTGTCTCTACTTTAAGAGTCCCTCTCCTGCTGATGTCCAGGTGTATATCAGTATGTAGTGTCTCTACTTTAAAGAGTCCTCTCCTGCTGATGTTCAGGTGTATATCAGTATGTAGTGTCTCTACTTTAAAGAGTCCTCTCCTGCTGATGTCCAGGTGTATATCAGTATGTAGTGTCTCTACTTTAAAGAGTCCTCTCCTGCTGATGTTCAGGTGTATATCAGTATGTAGTGTCTCTACTTTAAAGAGTCCTCTCCTGCTGATGTCCATGTGTATATCAGTATGTAGTGTCTCTACTTTAAAGAGTCCTCTCCTGCTGATGTTCAGGTGTATATCAGTATGTAGTGTCTCTACTTTAAAGAGTCCTCTCCTGCTGATGTCCAGGTGTATATCAGTATGTAGTGTCCTCTACTTTAAAGAGTCCTCTCCTGCTGATGTTCAGGTGTATATCAGTATGTAGTGTCTCTACTTTAAAGAGTCCTCTCCTGCTGATGTTCAGTGTATCAGTATGTAGAGTCTCTACTTTAAAGAGTCCTCTCCTGCTGATGTTCAGGTTATAATCAGTATGTAGTGTCTCTACTTTAAAGAGTCCTCTCCTGCTGATGTTCAGGTGTATATCAGTATGTAGAGTCTCTACTTTAAAGAGTCCTCTCCTGCTGATGTTCCAGGTGTATATCAGTATGTAGTGTCTCTACTTTAAAGAGTCCTCTCCTGCTGATGTTCAGGTGTATATCAGTATGTAGTGTCTCTACTTTAAAGAGTCCTCTCCTGCTGATGTTCAGGTGTATATCAGTATGTAGTGTCTCTACTTTAAAGAGTCCTCTCCTGCTGATGTCCAGGTGTATATCAGTATGTAGTGTCTCTACTTTAAAGAGTCCTCTCCTGCTGATGTTCAGGTGTATATCAGTATGTAGTGTCTCTCCATGTCTCCATGCTTTAATGTTCAAAAAGCTCTTTATTGTTCTCATACTGCCTGTGCTGCTGCACCTCTTTTCACCCTCTGTCTGAAACCAGAGCCCAGTCTGCTCTGATTGGTCAGCTGGCCGGCTCTGTTGTGATTGGTCAACCGCTTAGAGATGTCCCGCCCCTTAGCCTTTCATGTACAATGTGTTGGAGCGCTAGCCAATAGAAGTGTGAGTGTTACATAGTGATGTCATTATGTCCTGGACATTTGGGATTATAGCCTTTGCAGACCATTTACATGCACAAAAAACCTCTATAACAAACTACAGGGAATGAAAAACCAGAACAAGCACAATATGGCTTCTTTAAGATGAGAAAGGAATCACATTTAGGGTAGAGAGAGTAGAGTAGTGGGGGACTGTGTCTTTAAAGAAGCAGCTGACGCTTGGCAGCATATGTTCTCTTTTAGCTATGCTTTCTCTCTAAGTGCTGCACACACACATTCACATACATACACACACACACACACACACACACACACACACACATTAACACTCAGCTGGCAGCAGAGTGTGTGTGAGAGCCGGGGGGGGGAGACTGGTGCTGGCAAGAGAAAAGGAAAAGAGATTTAGGGAGCATCTATGGGAAGATTTGCTCAAACTCATTCCAGCACTTACAGACCGAACAAGGCCGATAAATATTTAAGAAGACTAGAAATATCAGACAGTATTTGGCTATACTCTATCAAAGATTTTTAAAACTATAATAAGAATTCCCTCGGGGCTGGTGTAGTTCTCATTTGAGAAATAAACGTTGCAATGACAGAGATTAAAATGAACAGGAATTACTGAGCAACGTTTAATCAAAAACACTACATGACCAAATATATTATCCAACCAATCAAATATATGGTCATAAAAATTCAGCCTGTATGTGTGCAATTCAATAGGCTACCATTTCTTTTTGCATATCTGCCAATATTAGTTGGCTAAATTGTGTCTACAACGGTCTTAAAGTCAAAGTTGAATACGTTTCTTTGGATTTCGAGCTTTAAAACTGCCCCTTTGATTATAGCAAACTTCATACGCAACAGTGTATCATGTGGCTTTCTTTATATCTTTATATTTAGGGACTATATCCACAATATTCACTGTATGTTTTATTGTATTTACCAATAAACACAATTCCCCATAACAAGTCTTAGAAGTTAGCAAGCCAAAAGTTATGATTCGTCAGAAGGACAGAAAAAATAGAGAGGCGAAGTCCCTCCCTTTCCGGGGAGCTCCATGGGACCTTATTTAGGAAAAGTCATGCATTGAAGTCAATGGAGAGAAAGATTATCTTTCCATCCCGTTTGAATTGTGCCACGAATTACACATATGATGTTTGTCAATTTAAAAGATCATTTTGCAAGTCAAATTTTTTTAAACACTTTTCTTGTGTGAAACCGCTCAATGAACTACATCTCCCGCCTCGCACCACACACCCAGACGGCCGTCACGTTGGAACATCTCACTTCTTTCTTTCAGAATGAGGCGGAAAGTATTCAAAGAGGTGGAAATCACTCCAAGTCTGGGCACGTTGAGAGCTGTACATAC